CTTCTAGAAGCGACAGGAATACTCTGTATAACATCAGCAGCACTGCCCTTCAATGCCAGAAGTAGTGCAACCGCTTTGTCGCTGTCGTTCCACGAATTTCTAGAAGCCACTGTCTCGAACTGTAACTTGAAAACATTGAATGACGTAGAGCCGTCGAATACAGGAGGTTTGATTTTTAGTGTGTTATCAGGAGCTCGCACCGGACCACCTTTGATTTCCAGTTCCGACATTTTCTTCTCCAGATTTGTAAACCTGTGGTCGTGGGCCAGAAATTTCTCATCTACCGACAGAATCTTCTCGTCAACCGACTGCACTTTCTTATCCAACTCTTTAATTTGGATCTCCACGGTTTCCACTCTCCTTCCAATAACTTCCGTAATGTTCTCGAGTTTCTCGTTCATTCTACAATTATCTGCCTTGAGTTCATCTAACTTTCTGGAATTCTCTTCGAACATTCTGGAATTTTGCTCAAACATTTTAGCCAGCGTTTCTCTTAAATCGTCACCCCTGGCAGCTACTGACGAGACTTCCCCACAGTTGGATTCGCCCATTTCCGATAAATCCACTTCATCCTTACTGTCAAACTCATATGTATCGATGTTCATACCACGGCGCTCGAACTCATCCAACAGACGTTTTTGTAGTTCAGCCTTGTTGCCAGTAGAGGACAATTCCAATTTATTCAGCTCCTTCTTCAAGTCTTCCACTCGTAGATCCTTAAACTTCATCGTAGTATTATCGTAATCTCATTTCCGACACCAATTGTTACGTTCTTGGACTTCACTTATTCCCGTGTAAACGTTGTTTTATTTCCCGATACAGTTCGTACCAAATAAAACGCGGGTTCGTTCTGATTACGATTATTACAATGATTTTATTCACACAACTTTACTTTGCACTTTACTTTACACGACGGTTTCAATTCGCGATCTGATTCACAACTGACTCACTGCCTTTCCATTTCCTCTATTTATATGAGCCTTGCTTGTAGCTACAGAAGTTTCTAGACGATCTGGTAACACCTAGATCACGAACAATCTTCCAATGCAACAAACACACATACAAACTTACATTGAGTAAACAATAACAACAACACATATACAGGTGAGGGAATAACAAAGAAAGAGGAATAACAACAACACATATACAGGCGAGGGAATAACAAAGAAAGAGGAATGACGTTTAACAAGAATTGTACAACAATAACAAAAATAGAAAATGAAAGAGGAAATGGAAGGATGTAGAAAAATCTATACAGTAGTTGTTGTTGTGAAGTTATTCAAATAAACTGCGTAGTAGAAATTTACGTTACAATTCAAATTCTTAAATTAACGGAATTCATCTAAATTAACTTAAATCTAAAGTTATATTCGTAACAATATGTTTTTTCATTCCGGGCCAGATGTACCTTGTTCGAATTTGCTGTAGAGTTGAACGACCACTAGGGTGTGAAAGTCCGTGTACAGCGTTGAAAATTTCTTTCCGCAATGCTTCTGGAATGTATGGACGGACATGTCCCATTGAGATGTCACAATATATTGATGTATTTCCGAAGTGAATTATTTGCAGCATCAAAGAATTGTTACCTTCAATTATAGTTTTTAACTCTTCGTCGGATTCTTGAGATTTTTGAATGTCTTCGTGTGAGACGCTTGACGGCATTGAGATTTCGTTGAGTCTTGAAAATGCATCTGCAACTGTATTACTAGGTCCAGAAAGATATACTATATCTGTAGTGAACTGAGATATAAAATCTAAATTTCGGAGTTGTCTGGGCGATGCTTTCTCAGGTCGTTGAGAAAATGCATATATGAGCGGTTTATGATCGGTTTTGATGACGAAATGTCGTGCTTCCAGCATGTGTCGAAAATATTCCACTGCTTTGTAAATGGCGAGCAATTCTCGATCGTATGTGCTGTACGCTCTTTCGGATTTTAGTAACTTACTCGAGTAAAATCCCAGAGGTCTCCATATACCGTTGAAGTTTTGTTCTAAAACAGCACCGACGGCAGTGTCTGATGCATCCGTTACCAATGCTAGTTCTAGGTCTGGAGCTGGATGTGCAAGCATTGTGCTTCACAAAGACTTTGTTTGCAGTTCTCAAAAGCGGTCTCTAATTCCGGTGTCCAAGGTACTTTGCGTTTGTCGTTTTTCTTGGAATTCCCAACGAGTTCGTTTAAGGGTGCTTGTTGATGTGCTGCGTGGGGTATACAACGTCTGTAGTAGTTTATGACGCCAATAAAACGACGAAGTTCGCAGATAGTTTCTGGTTTCTTGTAATTTTTGATAGCCTCAATACGATCTGTAGGCGGAGAACAACCATTTGCGTTAATTACGTAGCCAAGAAATCTCACCTCAGGTACACCAAAATGACATTTGTTCGGATTAATGGTGAGTCCATATCGGCGTAAAATTTCGAAGACTGTACGAAGATGTTCTCGATGTTGTTGTGGCGATTCTGACATAATGATGATGTCATCAATATAACAAAAAACGAAGTCAATCCCTCTAAACACGTTGTCTATGAAACGTTGGAAAGTTTGTGTGGCGTTCCTTAAACCAAATGGCATGTACAAAAATTCTAGAAGTCCGAACGGTGTACATACTGCTGTTTTTGCGATGTCTTCTTCAGCAATTGGTATTTGGTAATAGGCCCGGGTAAGGTCAAGGGTAGTAAAAATTGACTTACCATAAAGGTTTTCAGAAAAATCGTGAATGTGTGCCACGGGGTATCGGTCTGGGACTGTTTGTGAGTTGAGTTTACGATAGTCACCGCAGACGCGCCAACCACCAGTTTTCTTCGCGACCATATGTATAGGACTACTCCAAGCACTTTTTGACGGACGACAAATACCTTGTTCGACTAGATAATCCATTTCGGCTTTAGCTGCTTTTAATTTATCACCTGAAAGACGGCGTGGACGATCAGCAACTGGAGTTCCTGTTGTTTCGATGTGATGAACGACGACCAATTCATCTGTTGGCTTTCGAAGCGTTGTCGTTTTTGTAATGTCTTCAAACTCCTTTAGCAGGTCTGCGAAGGGTGATGCGGAATTCAATGTCGAAATTCCAAACTCTTTGGTTTGTAAAATGTTACCACGAGTGGATAATTTGGTTTTGTTGTCAATGAGACGTTTTTGTTTGAGATCAATAAGTAAATCAAAATTGACTAGAAAATCGGCACCTATTATTGGGGTGTGTACTTCAGCTATCACAAACAACCATTTGAATTCTCGTCGAAGTCCAAGGTCAAGTTTCAATACACAATCACCAAAAGTTTTGATTTCGCTTTGGTTAGCAGCCAAAAGCGCAAGTTTGGATGGCTTGAGTTTCTGCTTTATCATAGAAGGAGGTATAACTGATACCGCCGATCCAGAATCTATGAGAAATCGGGTATTTGTTGATATGTCGTAAAGATGTAGACGTCTTTCACATGTGTTGTTGCTGCTGTCGCCAACCGATTTGACTGACGACAGCCGAGTTAGTTTTCCGGCTGGAATTTTGCACAATCAGGTTTACATTTTCTTGCGTTGTCGCCAAATTTTTGATGGAAGTAGCATAAATTCCGCTGGTTTGAATTCTGTCCACTTTTTGAACGATTTCGGGATTTGGAACGATGTCGTGTGTTCTTACCAATTTGTTGTTGAATTTTGTCGACTTTCTCCGAAAGTTCCCTTATTGTTTGGCACATATCGGTGAAAGACATTCGTTGGTTAATGGCATCAACAACTGGTTGTTGCAATGTAGAAAGAGAATTAACACAATTGTTGTTGTTGGCTTCAAACATTTTATCAGCGGTCTTCGCCAATTTTTCGAGGTCTTCTTCCTCCCAGGCGGTAAGAAAAGGTCTCATGTTTTCAGGCATTTGTCCAAGAAACAGTGTTCGGATTATTGCCTCATTTCCTTTCCCTGGTGCAAGTCGTTTCATGTGTGCCAAAATTGACGTTGGCTTCATGCCGTTTGTTTCACCACCTTGTATTAAACGTCGCAGTTTTGATTCGGGAGATTCGGCAAATTTGGAAATAATTCTGTCCTTAATTGCAGAATATTTGTTTGAGTTCGGTGAATTTGTAATAAGGTCTTCAACTGCCAGCAATACTTCGTCTTCAAGACGGACACTCACTAGGTCGAATTTGTCGTTATCCGATGTTATGCTGCACAAAGCAAATGAACGTTCAACTTGTGCAAACCATAAATGTGGGTTCCGTTCGTTGAACTTAGGAATGTGCACCTTTTGTAGATTTGGTCGTGTGTCCTCATGTCGAGGTGTACTACTTAGCGCGGCCAGTTGTTCTTGAAGTTCTTGAATCTGTCGTTGCAATTCTTCGGACATATTATTGTCTGTTACGACGTTACTGCTTTCGAAGAATTCAGCGTCTTCTTCACTACTGTGGGAGTCAGGTTCTTTATAGTTGACTGGAATACGTTGTCTCAGTTTGCGAGTTGCTTCAATCATAAGTTTGCAAAAATGTTCTAGTAGTCTGGTTCTGAGGAACGAAATGACCGTTGAAATTGAGGTTGATCAAAATTGAGCATGCACGTTTGTTTGGTGGTGTTCTAGTAGGCTGATTCTGAGAAACGCAATGACCGTTGAAATTGATGTTGATCAAAATTGAGCATGCACGTTCGTTTAGTGGGTTGCGTGTGTACGACTGCGTTGTGAAATTCCACGAATGTTGCCGCAATTTGTTTGTTGCAAATTTTGTTTTTGTTTGTCCATAGACGAGGTCACCACTATAGTTTATTGGGTTGTTGATGAATTAAAACACAGCGGTTATAATAACAACCATTAATAACTATTTTATTTAATATTAGTTCAAAAGACAATAAATAGGAGTTCAATTTCAATGATGTCGATTTGCCACAACTGTGGTGTTGAAGATTTCGCGAGCAACAAACTTTTGCTTTCTTCTTTGTTGTCTCTTGTCAGAGTTGCCATCTCTCGTATTGTTTGTTAACGGCGGTAACGGAGATGCCACACACGCAACGAAATCCCCGAAATGTTAAATCCCTGTGATGTTACCTCCGACAGTCAAATGGTTTTGGCTAATGCCGCCTATTTCAAAGTTCAATGGTCGGATAAATTCGACGCCAAAGATACAAAACAGGAGATTTTCTATATCACCCCTAGCCAGTATTATTTCGTACCCATGAGGCATAAACGTGGAGAATTTGGAATTGGTACCGATCCTAGGCAAATTGGGTATCAATTGGGCATCGAGCATACCGCTAACTTGAGTGGCTTCCCCACATGTTGCCAAAATCAAGGTTGATGAGGAGGGCAGTACTGCTGCAGCAGCCAGTTGTTTTCAGTTTCCGTTCAGCACGTCTCGCCGTATCAACCAAATTCAATTGTAATCATCCATTTATGTTCCTGATCTATGATAATACCGCCAAGGCTGTACTCTTCACTGGCATTTATCGTGATCCCAAAACACAAAAGTAGACAGGCAAGGAGATTCTTTCACATTTCTCTGCCCTAGGACTTTTTTACTCGTCTCGTTTCCATTCTATTTGTTTGTTTATTCTTCTTCTTTCAATTTAATTTTTACTGCTGTTGCTGGTGCTAATACTACGACATTTGCCCTATTCTCTCTGTCTATTGTTTTATTTATAAAAAATGAGGAAGTGCTTAATTTTCGTTTTATATGTTTTATTTTTTAATATTATTTTATTATTTTTTGTTTTATTTGTTTTTCTGTTTATTTCGAATAAATTATAATAACAACAATGACCGTTAGGGTAATTTATAAAACAACAAAATGAAAAATGGAGGTAGATACATGGTTCTTTTTGAAAACATGCACAGAATCACTTTCTGAGTAGATTTATGCATGTCCGTCGTCTGTTGATGTTAAATTGTAAACAAAGCACGGGTCACATTTGTGGTCCGAATGACAATTTTGAAAAAAAGCCTATTTTTGATTATTATTAAAAATTCACATCCAATTTTTTTATCATCCATTTTTATTAATATATTTCTTTTATACGGCGTCTTATTAGCACAATTTATAAATTTGAATGTCGGTTTGAAAAAAGGCATGCATGATAATATGGCCGCTACAAACAACACAACAAAACTGTAACAACCGATAAGTTATCGAAACTGTCACTCAAAAATGATAGTGTGTACACCGCTTAAGTTTCGGGAATTATGAATTATATTGAATTAAGTCTAGAATGATGTCTGTTAATATATATATATACATATATATATATATATATATGGGAACAATTGTTATCAAATATTGAGTAAATAGACACAGCTATTATAGGACCATGATCCAATTCACGGAAGTACTGATTCCGATTATAATTTTTCGTTTCAATTCGCCTCAGTCAAAACTAAATAATTATTTTCGCCCTGTTATTTTGTGAATTCGGCCCTGGCAACACCCCGCTATGACGGCGATGGAAAACTTATGACCGACGGTGGGGTTCCAAACATAAACAATCGTTTGTTTTCCTTTTTCCCCACTCTTTGCAACAGTAAAATATGGTAAATTTATATTATTTATAATATTTATTAAATTAATAAAAACTAAATGTTAATACTTTTCTCTCTCCTTAGGCTCGTAATGCGGAAAAGGCTATGTAAGTTAAATGTTATCTTATACAAGAGAGTTCATTTGTTTAATACGAAAATATTTACAATGTAGGACCACGCTGGCACGGTGGCGTGCCGCTAAAGAAATTGAATCGGGCGAAAAGGATAGGCGGCCGTATTTGGCATCGGAATGTCAAGATTTGCCAAAATGTGAAAAATATCGTTTAGAAATTATTAGAGAAATTTCAAATAAGGTGGCCCAAATACAAAATGGTAAGGAGACACACAACGTCAAATATTGTTCCCAATAAATATAAAACCTTATCTTAATTTCTTTACAGCCGGTCTCGGTGAATTTCGTATACGTGATTTGAACGACGAAATCAACAAGTTGCTGCGGGAAAAACGTCATTGGGAAAATCAAATATCAGCCTTGGGTGGACCACACTATCGACGATATGGACCGAAAATGTTCGATGCCGAGGGCCGTGAAGTACCGGGAAATCGTGGCTATAAATATTTCGGTGCTGCCAAAGATTTGCCCGGAGTACGAGAGCTGTTTGAACAAGAACCTCCACCACCACCGCGTAAAACTCGGGCGGAATTAATGAAAGATGTCGATGCCGAATATTATGGGTATCGTGATGACGACGATGGCATTCTGATACCATTGGAGGAACGTATTGAACAATTGGCTGTTCAGACGGCGGTACGAGAATGGAAAGAGAAAATGGCTCGAGATGGTCATATTGATTTAGACGACGATGAAGAGGGCGATGATATTTATCCGCTATCAATACCAGCAAGAGAAGCCGCTGAAGATGCTAAAAAGTCTGAAGAGGGAAATCCAATGGAATTGCTGGCACCCAAGTTTACTGCCCATGTTCCGGTACCAACACAAAAGGATGTCGAAGAAGCGTTGTTGAGAAAACGTAAACAAGAATTGTTGGAAAAATATGCTGGTGGTTTAGATGAATGATTAATAATAAAAAATTAGTTATAAACACTGACTGTTTTATTAAAAAAATATTTACAAAAATATTAAAATTTTATGAAAAAACGCGAAAAATTAGAGAATCGTGTAGTTTTCTCCCCACAATCTAATTGTTCCCAATCTGAGTTCTTCTGAAATTTATACTCCTTTGACAGATCTAGGGTCGGACCTATATGCCTTATAACTTGAGATGGGTATTCAAAATACCCATGGGTATTCAATATCCCCTGATAAGATTAAAAAAATCGTCTGGCACCCTCAAGCGGGCAAGAGGTAGAGCTTAGGCTTAGTCATTTTTATATGGACAATGCCAAAGCATTGACAATTGGCAGCGAATAATCCTTTTCATCGCCCAAAAAACAGAGAATGGCAAATTATAGTTCCTTCGTATAAAAAATACGACTAAATCCTTAAACATTTCGAAAATATGTTCGCAATGTTATATGAGTGATCTATATAGAAACTCTTATGCACAGGCGTTATTTACCCACTAACAGATTTAGACGTATCAAGATACCTATAACGGGGAGGGACCTTTATTTGGAGGCTAAGTTAAAATATTGATATTTCTTTGGAAAACATTTGACTTAAGTCTAATTTAAGGCTCGTCCGCGGAAGTTAGCATCTGTCTGTAAAGAAACTTTTAAAATTATACAAGTTTTAGGACCTTGTACTTGCCGGAACACAGCTCTTGTATCATTAGCTGTTTTTCTGATATTCACACCTTCATCAACGGCTATTCCAAGGTAGATATACAAGGTTGCCGCATCAGCGAATTTCTACAACAAACATCGGTTGTTGTGTTTTGATATATAAAAAATATTTTGCGACAACAAACAGATTGACAAGATTTTTTTACCTAAATTCTTGTAGAAAATGTTAATAAAAGTATTGCCAAACAACCTCTTCGAAAATCTTTTTTTTCATTTATAATTTTGTTTTTTTAATTTTTTGGTTCAACCAAGGTGTATTTAATAAGGTGTAAGTGACAATCATATGGTTTCAAACTTTTTTTCTTTTTGTTTGTAAAGTAAATTGTCAAACACATTTTTTGACGTTACATTTTCATTTAAATTTGAAATCAAGGTGTATTTAATAAGGTGTAAGTGACAATCATATGGTTTCAAACTTTTTTTCTTTTTGTTTGTAAAGTAAATTGTCAAACACATTTGTTTACGTTACATTTTCATTTCAATTTGAAATATTGTTTTTATCTTTCAAATAGTAATTCATAATTATTAAAAAATGCGAAAGTGTATAATTTGTAAAAAGAAAGACATTTGTGGAAACGG